AATGCACTATAACTACTCACCCTATTTAGCCCTAAATTGGGTCAGTTGCATGTACCTAATGATGAAATTAAATGTTTCAAAGTCCTCTACTATTACTACAATTAGTGTGCAAATCCAAGCCATCCATTAAAGTGAATTCAAGTGTGGATATTGATTGAATGGTTGAGATTATTGCATCTCAACAATTGAAGTTGAATTAAATTAAATAGGTAGGAGGGAAAATGGTTCAAGGTAACTAATCTTTGTATAAGTTGTCCATATAAAGCCAAATTGGGCCAAGAGGCCAAGTGCAAAGCAGAACCAGTTTTTATTTGGCTATGTGGCTTCTGTGTATGTAAAACCATCCCCAAAACCCAAGAGTGAGCCAGTGAGGCGCAAACACAGCAGCAGGCACTGAAGAAGCTTCACGCATTGCTCTCTCGTAGCAGAATGGGAGTCATTGCCCCTTAACTTTCTCCTCGCCATTAACGTTACGTCGAAGCTTTTATTTTGGCTTCACAGAAACCTCAGCTTTCGCCTGGTACGTCTCTATTTGATTGTGGGTATAAGAAAAAATTTAATCTTTTTCTTCATTCGGGTTCGTTCTTATTTTTGGCTCTATCTATTTAAGATTTTGTAACCACCAGGATCAACTTTTGGTGGTTTTGTGAAATGGGCATCAACTTTCTGATATGTTTGAAGCAATGGTTTGTCGGTGATGTCTTGGTATTTGAACAGTTGGACTTGTGTGGCTGCATGCGTTATTGGCTATTTGCTGGTTTTAGCTAACTGGGTCTGGGTGCGCTTATAATCTGTTTGTTCTCCAACTTTCATACATGGGCGTGTCTGCTTTTGAACAATTTAAGTGCTTTTTTAACAGGAGAGTGCTTATTGTGCCTATTTGCCCTCGTCTCTTAGTAGCTCAGGTATGAATTTTTCTAGTATTTCTTGTTAATTTCATTTGAAGAATGACGAATGCCTATCTTGTTGTTTATGATTATTTTCCTTGATAAGTCACAATTTTTTTGTTTTCATTGAGTATCTGTGAAATGTTTGAGAATATGCTTTCCCTTTTGACAATGTTTGTTTGATCATTTCTGTAAAATTCTCACGTTTTTTTTTATTTTTTTATTTTTATTTGTTTTTGTGCATAGGGTTTACTGATTTAGAGTCGACTGGTGATATTTTGAAGTTAGTTCTTGTTGTTCATAGTATGAAAAAAATGGTCAATAGTGGTACTGCTAGCAACCAAGGGGAATCCTTAGGAAAAGGAAGTAAGAACAAGAGAAAATTAGCTGACCCTTCTCTGGAGAATACAACTGACCACGGTTCTCCCCTAACTGTATTCCCGCAGAGCGAATTATCTCCAGAAATGTGTCCAAAATTGAGTGACAATGTGTCAGTGGATGCTGGGTTGGTTCAGCCCAAAGAAGAAGTGGAAGTGGGAGCCTTTGAATGTACAGATTGGGATGACCCCATTGTGTGTCAGCTTGAAGAAC